CTACGTGTTCCGGATAAATGTAGCACGGATGTCACAAAGCAGGAAGACGTACGCTGTAATGGAAATGGGACTCGCGCTGAGACTAAACCGGTAGAACTCGAAATTAGGATCGAGTGACTTGACACTGAGAGCCCGGCAGCTGTTTCTGTGTCGAGATGCCTTGACTAGAGTGAGATGTTCGTGAGCGAGATAGGGGCCTATCAGGTGAGGCGGCGAAGGCTATTGTACTTCGCTCTGGATGAGCCTGTTGGTCTGATCGCCCACTCCACAATCGGCATCGGCTTCGGCTGGTTCGCTTTTCGAGTTCCTGCGAGGGGTTTGAAGTGAACGAAGTTTTGCGTTGTATGTAGCTTGATATCGGAGACGTTCGGGTCGGCCTAATGACATATGCAGTGGAAGTATCGTGTTAGTTTGCACGATGATCAAGACGTCGTGCAAGCAGCATAGAGACGAAGCACGTACTTAGCATAATATGTGCCCCGTTGGTATTTCCTTCTTGTCGATGTCGGCCGATTTTGTGGTGGTACATCAGAATGGGCATGGCGGCATGCGATTTGGTCGTCAACCTCGGTGCTACCCTCGCCAATCATGTCGTGCAGAGATTATGAGGCGGTCACTGGTACGGGGAAAACAGAAACGTGGAAAGGGACAAGTCCTGCAACGACCGGAGTCAAGAGTCTCTCGCGCGACTTACCTTCGTTCGGAAAGCTGCAATTGAGCTCGACCGTCCTTGTTCCGCTTGCTGCCTGAATGGAGTGTACAGTATCGATGTTGAACAGAGGCCGGAGAGCTCATATTGCGAGCTATTGACGATAAAAGCAAGCGAAGCATGTTCTGATACGCTGGGGTCAGGCCCGTGAAAGATCAAAGTAAACGGGGCAGGAATGGGGCGGCGCCGGGTGATGCAGTGGTGAGGGTGTGGAAGTCGTGCTGCCCGATGTTGGCGACGTCGTCGACGATGACCGTCTTGATCCGAGGGACCCGAGATCTGCGATGGCGTAGAGTGGTGCGCCCGGCGACGACTATCGAAAGTCCGAGAGCAAAGGAGGTAGTGGAGGACGAGGAGTCGTCATCGGAGGTGGAGGAGAGCGTCAAAGCAGGCGAAAGCAACATGCGCTTTGAACGCTCTTTCGAAGTCGCTTCGCTCTTTGCCCCTTTCACCCGTTTCTCCACCTCCGACGAGCTCTTCTTCCCTTCCCGCTCTCCATACCGCTTCGGACTTTTGACAGTCTTCGCGGGGCACTCTATCTTTCGCCATCTCAGACGTCTATTGGCCCTCGGATCCAAACGGCCGTCGTGGACGTCGCCACCGACGTTGGACAGCCCGACTTCCACACCCTCGCCACTGCATTGACCGGCGCCGCCCCATCCTCTCTCCTTTCATCTTCCAACTTTACTCTCCCAATCTTAACATACTAAAACACATATCCCCCGTTCGCACCATTCATAGCTCGTTCTCCGAGCTCTCTAGCCTTTGTCTAACATGGACCTCCTATGTTGGCCCCACCTTGGCACATGTTCGCACTTTGCGACATATTGGAGACTGAAACTGGTGTGGGCTTCGCTAGAATACGATATGAACTGGTAAATCCTGCTCTTGTATGTCCTTTTTTGCTTTTCTTTTGGCATGTGGACTATTCCACATCCCCATGATCACCCAGAACTGACACCCCATCCTCACCCATTCCACTACCAATTCCTCTCAACAAACCACGCAATCCTAATCATTACCCTACCTATGCATCTTTTATGAGGTCAGATTTCCATTTGTATCTCCGAAGCGAACATCAGACCATATAAGTATCTCCTCGTGCCACCCATCCACAGCATTCCCTCTTCTTCCATACACCACCTCGCACACTACTAACCCCACAAACACTGTGATGATTACATATACACCACATCATGTATATATACATCTGTTTGTAACTTTCAACTTATCTTGCTCCTTGTTGAAGTACTGTTTCATGTATTTCATTTGGGCCACACTCAATAAAATGCCGGAAATACGCATTATTTGCGGTTCAAATACATATTTGAGGTCATCTCCGTGATGGTAGTAATATTTGCATGATTCCTACTAAAAGAAGCCAAGGAAAACATTGTAAATTGAATGAGATGGTCGTGCTCGGTGTCGAGCACGACACCGGCAAGACTCCGTCGTCGAGGCGCGTGCCGGTGTTTCGGACGCGATTAAGTTACGCGGCATGGGCTGACACGACGTGGGCCGGGTCATCGTACGGGTGCGCATTGTCCAGAGGGACTTGTAAATTGATGGGGGCGGGTCGTGACGACGTCGACAACGAGCACAGTGGTGAGCAGCGTACGGAGAAGAGAGGGCTCGGCAGACAGACAGGAGCGGAGCCTGACAATGACGTGAGGTGTATGCGCGGCAAGATGTACAGGTGTACATCGCAGACCTACATCTCGGCACTTCTGCAATGGATCGTTGCTGAGAGCATCCTCAGAATAATAGCCGGCCTTTGCAAGGCCTGACGGTATCAGTGGATTTCACCAGGCACAGATTCAAGCGAAACAACAACATGACATAGACAAGACAGCGTACGTGAGAGCAAAGTAAAACACGAGTGGACAAAGGTGCTATATGGAATGAAAGAAGGCAGAAAGAAAGAAATATCACGGACGAGAGGTGGCGAGAAGTGTGACACATATTTTTATCCGTTTTTTCTGACACAGACGAAGCAAGACGAAGCAAAACGACAAGACAAATGTACAACACAATCGATGAGGTAACGTGAACAGGCTGCGTCTTCCATCCTTACACTGGAACCTGCGCCTGGGCATCCGCGTTAGTGGCCGGCCGAAGGAACCCAAGCTGATACTGGACGGCTGTCAACCACTCGTGTGCCTCACCCTCAGTGCGGAATGCCATCCATACAGAACTCCCGTCAGTCAGAAGGGGCTTCATCAGGTCCCTAAGCAGGTTACAGAAGAAATAGTCAGGGAAGAGATCTGAGCAGAGAATACACAAACGTACCAAGAAGCCCTGGTGACACCGGTAGCTGGACCAATTGCGATGGCGTACCAAGCATGCCCCTGCAAAAGCACGTGGCTGAGAAGAACCGAGGTGTCCTCAACGAATTTACGCCTGCTAGAACGGTGATACCCTGGAAGGTGGGCAAGCTGATATAGAAAATATTAATTAGCTTCGAAGACAACATTGGGTTCCGACGAGAGACTCACTGAAGCATCCACGGCGCGCCTTAAAAAGTAACCGACGGCTGGTCCCATCCGAACGTGCGTGTTCCACGACGGGATCAACGACGCGTCGACCTCCGCAGTGTCGGAGCGCTTGGGGAAGTTGATGGGCAGCGCAGAGACTTCGTCGTCATCCTTTGGAATCGCATGAGTACGGCACAAAGGCAGAGGGCGCAAAGGGAGGAACAAACCGTTAAAGAGACGCGGAGATGAACATCAGTAACTGTAACATCCACAGCCGAGTGGCGAGGAATGGAGAGGAGGATATGTGGGTCCTCGTCCGGGACTTCACTCCTCGCGGGAACATGAGAGATATCCAGAGGGTTGGTGAACGAGCGAGTGTTGGGATTCGGGGAGCAGATTATCCCAGGAGGGTTGGTGGGGTTGGCGGCAAGACCAGAAGGGAAATGGTGTACACTCATTCTATCAAAGTCGATGTAGGAGGAAAAGGAGCAGCGGTGGTACGGATGTCGGTGAAGGACAAGGTGCGCGCAAGGAATGGGAGGAAAGAGAACGGGTGAAGAAACGCCAGGTCGCGCAGCGCCCCAACGGCTTAAGTCGAAGCCAGTCAGGATCTGATGGGAATTTGCCGATTTTCGCAACAGGAACTCTGAGTGCTTTTTAGAACGTAATGATGGAGCAATATGCGATTGATCGAAGTGAGGCCTGCGCGCTGGTTCTCACGTTAGTGGGGTACTACCTCGAAGTGTACCGCGACCGCGCCAGTGTGTACAGTATTCAGAGTCTGTTCATGTTAGAAACCCATCAGAAAAGTCAAAATACAATAGCATTGGGTGATTTGACGAGCCTCCAAGTCCCCAAGTCAGGAGAGAGGTTTCTAGAGTGAAAGAGTCGTCCTGACATGCACTTATCGCACAACAGCCGCATGACTTCTTTCGAAGCTAGCTGATGGATCAGCCGAGCTCGAGAAAGCGCAAGGATCCAAGCCGTGAGTGGGAAACACGATCCTTTCGGCGTAAGAAGCCACAGCGATCCACACACACGTCCAAAACTCCATTCAAAGCGATGGCGCGATACACTGCGTAGCATACTTAACAGCCGCGTGGGCTTTTGGCGAACAAAGACCCCCTTCTTCGCTTGTGTACCACAGAGATCTGCCCATATGCGGTCCTGGATAACAGCGGAGCAATACTCCTTTCTCAGGCTGAGATTCCCGGATTTTGTACATCATAGTCGAGCAAAAACTGCCCAGGTGTTCTGGTCAGACTTATTTCATGACTGGGAAGCTCGATGGCCAATGCAAGGGACTCCAGAGAACAAGCGGGCATTGATAAAGGTCAGTCTAGAGTTTCCAATCGTGTGGATAACCCGACTGACTTCTGTACCTGTCAGGGAGTGAGAACTTGGTTCCTGAACCAGAAGTTTCCCCGACGGGGTGTGTAAGCCAATAGGTGAGAGAAACCAGTTTCGGCGAAATGAAAGTACCGACTGATCTATGGGGTACAAGGGCGGTCTAAAGCCAAGTAGGAAAGGGTACATAGGAAAGATATCGGGATACAAGTGGGCTGGAGGGCCCATTGTGGTCCTTGTGGTTCTTTTCTGATAGATAACACTGTGCACTATGCACTATATGTTCAGGTGACAAGTTTGCAGCAGGTTGGAACATCCAATCCTAGGCGAGGTGTTCGAGAATTTACACACATGATAGAGGCCTGGGAATCCCATTGATCTATACAGGGATAAGAACCGGCAGCGTAATCCTGGCCAAGCAGCATGATCTCAGAGAGGAGCCACTGCTCGAGAACGACCAGTTTATGTCTTACACTGAGAGGTGTTTGCATACTTTCAGCAACGGGGTAAAACAAATGAATGAAGTACATGATACAGACTACTTTTTCCAAGGGAGACCGAGAAACGGCAATCAGTGCAAAAGGCACGTTGGATTTCGAAATTCGGATCGTCGGACACTGAGCTGCAACTATCATGCCGCGCGTTGCTACGTCAGGTCCAGAGGTATGGCTACAAGAACAAGCCGGGTGTTCCTACGCTCGAAGACCCACGTCGTTGGCGGAGAACCCGAAAACAAGCGGTGAACCACTACTATCCACCCCCTCGCACTTCAACCGTGCAACGTGCTTGTACTTTCCTTCACTCTCCGTCGTCGTGCGTTACCTCTGCGTTACCTTACTTAGTCTTCGCTCGTCAAACTTGACTGCTTTTTTTCTTATCGTGGTTGCAAATGCCCGCACCTTGGACAACCAAGGCTCAGCGCGAATGGCTGACCAGGCGGATCCCGCTCTACAGAGCTCATCAGGCTGCCTCTACAATCCCTGACTTCTACGAATCTTTCTTCCAAGACTGGTTCACGCTCTGGCCAGAAGAAACCGATCCCGACACGGGGATGGACGTCAGAAAGGTTAGTCTCCGTCTAAGCCAGTATGAAGTGAGCGTCATACCGAAGCATTATTCAGCGCCTCCGCCAATGGATGAACAATGCTCTGAAACCTGGAAAGAAGAGCGGACGCTCGGGCATCACAACGAATGTTGTACTGAGTAAGCACGGTAAGGCCGGCAAAATTGGGAGGAAGAAACGCGCACTTTCTCGTGTTCAATGTTGGCAGTCGTTATACTACGATGACAAGACGGCCGCAGACTTCAGTGCCTACTGGAAAGACTTCGTGGCCGCTAATCCCGACAAGACGGATCATCGCGCGACGGTGTGTGCGACGTGGTGCGAGGATAAACTGAAGACGGCGCCCGAAGACGAGATAGCTGCAGTCGAGGCTTTGTGGAAGTCGGAGCGGGAGTCTGGTCAGACAAAGATCTGCCCGACTCAATTTCGAGGCCAATACTCACAAGATCAATTGAAGACATGGGATCAGTATGTCATGTCTCCGTTTTACACCTTCTGCTGCTGTTGGTGAGCTAACGCGCGTTTCAAGCGCCATACAACGCCTTCCGTACGCAGGGGTGGACCTACTGAGGGAGATTCTCAGTCAGACGGGTTTGGTTGGAACGCTTATGATCGGCGGGCCGATGCCGAGTTCCGGTGGAGACATAGGAATGATAACGTACGTTGTCTCAATGCTTGACCAGTAGGGAAGCGCAAGGATTGACCAGATGAGTAGTGTCGGGCTCCAGGTAGGGGAAAGCGAGGAAACGTTCAAGACGTGGTACAAGGACCATAACGCTCTCGAGATGGAGTATACGAGATACCTCCAGCATATCTTTCGTCAGTGTCACTTCATCTTCTAAAGAAACACGAGACTTACGCATCCGATTAGCTGCGAGCGAGCTTCCTAAGCGAGCGTTGGCCAACAGTTATTCATCCCGCCAAGATCCATCATCCAGTAAAGCGCCAGCGTCACCTCCTAGACCCTTGGATACTGTCAGAGCGCGAGCAGCCGAGTTCGCGGAGTGGTCGATTCGCGCACAGAAGGAAGCCGGCACCAGGAAATGGAATAGTATGTCGAAGGAGGCACGAAGAGCATACGTCAGTCAATTCCGAGCTCGAACCGAGGATCAAGCCGCAGCGGAAACTCTCCAGCCCGATAACAGCCTGCTAGCGGATGCCGTGAGGGAAGCCTTTGCTGGAGATGCAGGTGGAGGTGGTGAGCAGGAAGATGACGATGACGACGAGGACGAGGACGAGGACTATTACGAGGACGAGGACGAGGACGAGGTCGGGAGTGATACGGATTACGAGGAGGTCCGGAGTGATGACGACGTAGGTTCCAAAGACGAGACGTACGAAGATATTGATGGAGGAGGGAATCCGTCCAGACCTAGGCGTATGGGGACGAAGGCCCGGTCGGCTCTGGTGCCGGATGTCCGTGCGAGGTCGACGACGAAGGCAATCGGTCGGGGTGGTGTATACGTCGAGGTGAAGAGGATCCGGCACAGAAGGAACGGGGTAGCATCGAAGGCAAATGGTGAGAAAGGGATGGTGAGGAAAGGGAGAAGCGATGTGGGCGAGGGCGAAGGGGTTGGCGCGGACGAGGGCGGAGGGGTTGGCGCGGGCGAGGGCGAAGGAGTTGGCGCGGACGAGGGTGAAGGGGTTGGCGCCGGCGAGGGCGAAGGGGTTGGCGCAGGCGAGGGCGAGGGCAAAGGAGTTGGCGCGGGCGAAGGCGAAGACGGAGGCGTTGGTGGGAGTGGTGATGTGAGCGACACGGGTGGCATGCCTCAACCGAAAAGACCTAAACCGAGGCCTGTGCCGGTGAGGAAGCCGACAAAGAGTGGGGAGAGCGTGACACTGGGCGGCGGGGAGAGTATCACGATGGACGAGACGATGGCGAGGGACAACGAAGACGTTCTGGATACCAGCCGGAAGAACCGCAAGTATCGCGTATGCCCCATCTGCTTAGCGAGGCCGTACCATATACCCAAATGTTGTCCAATCGTTTCGTCCGGGTTCGACGCCATCGACTTCAGGATCATAGAGTTGGAAGACGAAGGATCCCTCGACCGAGAACTCATCATTTTGTTGAAGACGTTACGGAAGGAGGCTATGGAGTCAGAGCGCAAGCGGGGCAGTGGAAGTCAGAATATGGTGAAATCAAGCGGCGGTAGCGGAGGAGATGATCAGGCTCAGAGGCAGAAAGGT